TCAACACAAAACAGACGATTGTCTGCCACTGCGGATGACGGGAGATGCGAGACACTGGATAGATCCGGTCCAAAAAAAAAAACAATTCCGAAGCGCAATGCGTCTCTCTCGATGTGGGTCACAGACTCCAGACCGGAGTCATCATTCAGGGGTAGGAAAACTAGGCGCTTCAACCCAGAAGACAGCTGCTATCTTCATGTATCGTCCCTTTATGGCGATAATTCAGACGCTGAAGACCCCACCCAGGCGTTCCTGGCCATCATCGTAGTTCAAGCACCAGACACACGAGGGCAGGAACTGCGTGTCACGAACTCTGGTCCCCTCCCCTCCCACACAAGTACAACGGGATTCAACATGAGTCACCAAGCACTGGGAAAGCCGTTACAAAACACGAGAGGGTCAATTGAACATTAATTCCTCACACAGCGGATGAACGACGGCTTCCATTATCCTCCATTCACGAACAAAAGACACAGACCGCGCCATCTTCGTTGTCCTCGGCGACACGTCCACAGCCTCCAGTGACACAAAACGCCAGCCACTGGACTCGATTCTAAGCTCCACACATCATTCACCAAAGATACATTTTAATATTATATTCTCCTTTTTAAGCCACGGTGGTCTAGCGGTTAGAACGCCCTGGGGTCTCCGGTTCGATTCCCGGTGGTGCCCGAATTTATAACTTGTGTTGGGCAAGGCCGTGGTCTAGGCAACACGGAGTTTTCCTCCGTGGCATCCCAACAATTACTCCATTCACACACAGAAGAAGGCAATGGCAAACCACTTCGGGATCATCTGCCAAGAACGTATAGGAACAGGTCCCAGTCCGACAAAAGGATGGAAGGATCCTGTTCATAAAGTGTCGCCAACCTCCTGTAAAGAGACGGCGTGATAAAGAAGGAGAAATAGGATAAAGCGCGGACAGGGTGTGATGTTGACCACTCACCCTCATCTAGTACCGAGGTTGAGAATGAGTAGGAGCTAAACCTCCACTCCCCTGATCGCCGACATGAGGCGTAACAGGATAGCTTTACCTTTTTTATATCAAATGTCGCAGTTGTAATTGATGCTGCTTAAGTCCTTTACGCACAAGCGACTTGAGGTGGGTATATATTTTTTTGAACAGCGCGTAAGCCATCGTTTCTTTTATGATTCGTAGTAGCAATTATTGTCAAGCTGCACTTAACAAATAGGAGTTTGTTTGTTAGTTCGTGAGTGTTGAGAACAATTGCATGTATAT